TTGAAGATTTCAGCCCAATGCAGGGTTAGAAGGAAAAGAACCATTCTGCATCCTATTAAGTGTATAAAAGATACATGAAGGGCTAGGGTTGTGGCTCAGTGGTAAAGCGTTCACCTACCATTGCCTGAGGCACTGGGTTCGATCCTCAGAACCACATAAAAATAAAATAAGATATTGTGTCTACCTATAACTAAAATATATATATGATACGTGAAGCCAGTGAGTTTGTAAATCCTTGAGGATTCAGAAGGGTGAGATATTTCTTTAATTACTCTATGATGATATTAACATTTAGATTCTTTTAAACTTTTATTATTCCTATTTTCAGTCAATTTAATGGGATTTCCTAGATTCAAACAGAAACTCATAAACCTGGAAGGGGAAAAAAAAGCTAATTACTTGCCTAATGCTTGTTGTTCTCCAGACACTATTCTAGGCTTTATTTTAGAACATTAACTCATTTCATCCTTTCAACCATCCTTGGAGGAGATATCATTATTATCCCAACTTTACAGATGAGGAAACTGAGGCAGAAAGCAATTTATGTGACTTGCTCAAGGTTACATGCCTAATAAAGGACAGAATAAGGTTGAACCCAAGCAGTGTCACCCTAGAGTGTCTGTTTTTACCAGTAAACTGTCCTGCAGCATTGAGAGGTGAATTGGTCCCTAAGAATAGTAGGCTCCCCTCTGTCTAGATACATTCCTTAATTCCAGCCAGTGTGCCAGCAAACAGCAGTGCTGCCCTATCTTGCTCATGTCTTTTTCTGCACTTGCAACTCTTGACTCTCTCCTCTCTTGTCGGTCAGGTGTTGTTGAAGTGTACAGAGTAACCAAGCGCGTGGAGCTGGGAATAAAAGCCACTGCAGTGTGCAGTGAGAAACTGCAGCAGTTGCTGAAGGACATTGATAAAGTATGGAATAATCTCATGGGCTTCATGTCCCTCGCCACACTCACAGTAAGCCTGGTGAACAATTCAGTAATTGCTTTTCTTTCCAGAAACCTATGTTGCACAGCAGCAAATATATTTCTATGCTGGCACTTACAGGAGGATGAAGGTGCCCACTGGATCCCTCATGTTAAAGGAGGAAAGAATGTGTGTGTGGGCAGTTGAGTGGTGCTGGGTAGACTTTGGGATAGCTTTAGGGCCCACTGTACCTAGATAAAATGAGAGTAAAAGACATCTAGTAATTAGAGAAATGCAAATCAAAACTACTCTAAGATTTCATCTCACTCCAGTCAGAATGGCAGTTATCAAGAATACAAGCAACAGGGCCTGGGCTATGGCTAAGTGGTAGAGTGCTTGCCTAGCATGTGTGAGGGACTGGGTCCGATTCCTGGCACCAAATAAAATTAAAATAAAATAAATAAATAAAGGTATTGTGTCCATATACAACTAAAAAAAAAAAAAAAAGAATACAAGCAACAGTAAGTGTTGGCGAGGATGTGGGGAAAGATACACTTATACATTGCTGGTGGTACAGCAAAATGGTGTAACCACTCTGGAAAGCAGTATGGAAATTACTTAGAAAACTTGGAATAGAACCATCATTTGACCCAGCTATCTCACTCCTTGGTTTATACCCAAAGGACTTAAAATCAGCATACTACAGTGATGTAGTCACACCAATGTTCATTGCAGCTCAATTCACAATAGCTAAACAGTGGAACCAACCTAGATGCCCTTCAATAGATGAATGGATAAAGAAGCTATGTATATATACACAGTGGAATATTACTCAGCATTAAAAATGAATAAAATTATGGCATTTGTAGGTAAATGGGTGGAGTTTGAAAATATTGTGCTAAGCAAAGTAAGCCAATCCCCAAAAAACAAAGGCTGAAATGTTCTGATAAGTGGATGCTGATCCATAATGGGGGAGGGGGTATGGGAAGAATGGAGGAACTTTGGATTGGGCAAAGGGGAGGGAGGGGAAGGAAGGGGTATGGAGGTAGGAAAGGTGGTAGAATGAGAAGGACATCATTACCCTAGCCATATGTATGTTTGCACAAATAGTGTGACTCTACATTGTATACAACCAGAGAAATGAAAAATTGTGTTCCATTTGTGTACAATGAAATGAAATGCATTCTGTTGTCATGTATAACTAATTAGGAAAAATTTAAAAGGGGGGTAGAGGACATTTGCTCTATCTACATCCTTCTTAAATCACATATATGCAAATTTTGCAAAAAAGCATTGGTTTGAATTCCTCCTTTTGCACTTCTAATTATTATGTCCTCATATGTGTCCTTCTAAAAAGCTATATGATAGATAAATGTCATGTTGCTGTCTTAAAGTTAACTACCTTTCTTAGATTCTTGAGTTATTTTCATTTTTTCCTGTTATGAGTAGTACTGTTCCAAATAAACAAATGATTAGGGTTTTTTTGTGTGATAAAGTTCCTCGAAGTGCATTTAAGAGGCCAGAGTGTGGGGCTGCATGTGTATATGCATGCATCATTTATAGCTGCTGTTGCATTTTTTTAGATGATTTTCCAGATAGCATTTAATTTTGTAAGAGGCTTTGCAAAATAATAATTTGCTGTTTTTATTTCCATCATGTATAAACTGAGAAAATATATTGGTTATTGACCTTGCACATTTCATATTTGTGATAGATTTATGTACATATATATAGGCTAGTAAACTTTTATCAGTTTTTTCCCTCCTTTATTACTGTCACCTTTTTAATTTCATTGTGCAAAAGTATTATGTATTCATACTTACTCAGTTTGTCTCTTAGGATATTCTTTATTTCACAATAGTCAGAAAGTTATCTTCCTTCTACAGCTGGAATAAATATGCTATTTTTTTTCTTTTTTTTATATTTAACTTTGTGACCCATCTGAAAAGGATTGCAGCTTGCAGCTGTGGTAGAAAGCAATTCTTACTGCTTTGAACAGAGAACCCAGTTATCCCAACAACATGTATTAAATATTAGCAAATCTTCTCACCATTGTTATGTTGCTTCTGGATTACAATATTAAGTTATTAAAGAGTTTACATAGTTTCCAAAATCTCTATTTTGTTCTTTAGAATGATTTTTCAATTTATAACCTAAAATTGTACAACTTGGGTAATTAAAAAAAAAATAGATAACTCTCCTAGATAATATAATAAGAAATGGAATGCAAACATTTGGAAAGAAGAGATGAAAGTATGTTCATTTGGTAATATGGAATTCTTCTAGAGGTTAAATGTATAAGTTAACAAAAACTCATAGCTGGGCTTTGTGGTACACTCTTGCCATCCCACCTAATTGGGGGAGCTGAGGCAGGAGGATCACAAGTTCAAAGCCAGCCTGGGCAACTTAATAAGACTATCTCAAGAAATAAAAAGGGCTAGTGATGTAGCTCAATGGTTCAACCCCCCAGTACCATAAAAATAAATTAAAAAATCATAGTGTTCCTACAAATTAACAAGAGCTGGAAAATATAATGAAAGTGGAAAATCTTTTTTTAAGTATTAAATCATTCAGGCCCTCGTCACTACTGAACTTCTGACCTTATAGTTAGAGTGATGATTCCATTTTTAAATTCCATTTCAATCTCTTTTCTATACCATTACTAGACTGTTCTTTCCAAGATGCAGATCTGATCATGCCATTTAAATCCCATTTAAAATCCTGTAGTGAGCTCTCCATGGTCTTCAGGATCAAGTTCAAATTTCTTAGCTCAGTGAAGGTCTTCCTGTCGTTGGACTGCGCTTGTCTCACGGTTTGGCTGCCTTTCCCCAAAAGGTGTTCCAAGAGCCCTTCCTGTGTGTGTCCTTAGCACATTTCTCTCAATTCTCATAGTATTTACTGTGCTTATTGATAATTGTGTGTTTTATTTTCATTTGCCCCCTAGCTTGTCATTTCCTTAAAAAGAGGACTGTCTTTTATTTCTTTATTGGTATTCTGACACAGTGTTTGATGGGATTTTTTGGTTTTAGTAAATGGATAAAGACAATGAAAAGGAAAAATGAAGCAAAGAAAACAAATAGGGAAGATAAATAAAGCCAAGAATGAAGTTAATTGTACAAAAATGTGTGCTTAAAGTGTTTGTATTTATTATTGGTGAGCTGTACAGTAACATTATGTGTTCTAGGATTTTATAAGACATGGCCAGTTCCATGATTCACTGCGTTCATAACTTAATACTCAGAAGCAGCATAATTACTGCTGGCACTAATATCAGAAAGTAATTTCTTTTGTGAATTCTCATTAGGAGAAAACTTCCAGAAACAACAGCAACAAAAGAAAACTAATGTAACCAACATTATCTTCAAAAAATACCCTTTCAATTAATAAAATAATAGGTTTCATTCAGTAGCTTCTTACAGCATCCTCATGGAGGTTGTATAGGAAACTTTTTGCTCTTTATACCATTTCTTCATTTTAGGTACATAAGCTCCCCATGGACTACACTGCCATGGTGAGGTGCTTTGAATTTAATACTGCTACCAGCAAAGAGTTGCCATTTGTTCTGTACCTAGAACTGACCTGCTGGGCATTGTGCTATGATCTTTACATCCATTTACATTTAATCCTGGTAACAACCCTAAAGGTCATTAGCATAAATCCTTTTTTTTTTTTTTTTTTTTTGTGTGGTGGTGCTGGGGATTGAATTCAGGACCTTGTGCATGCAAGGCAAGCACTTTGCCAACTGAGCTATCTCCCCTGCCCCACTAAACCCTATTTTTACAGGTGAAGAAATTAGGGCTCAGAGAAGATAAAACCTGACTGAATCTGACAAATCTGGGATTTGAATCCACATTGTTTTGAAATTATTTCTTCCTGCTATGCTATTTCTAGCTTGCAAGATGCTGAAATAGACTTGTTTCTGCTGTGAAGATTACATGGGACTGTTCCCTTTGAAAGACAGCTGCAGCGGGGCCAGGGTGGAGCTCAGTGGTAGAGCAAGTGTTTAGCATAAACAGGATTCAATTCCCCAGTGCAAAAAAAAAAAAAAAAAAATCTTCACTGCACTGTTTTCTTCCACTGAAAAAGTCCCCTAGGTTGCTTTTTGGACTTTTGCCTAAGATCAAGTGTAGTATCTATTTATTACAGTTTAATGTATGATATATCCTCTGTCCAAGAACAAAATGTTAAATGGATTTTTGGAGGAGGGAGATGGAGTAGGACCCTGCTCCACACATCCATCTAATATCATAGTACCTGCAGAAATGGTGCAACCCCTTCAAGGGAACATCAAAAAAAATTTTTAAAAAGAAATGGAAAAAAGTCCCAGGTATAGTGTGCTTCACAGTAGGTCGGGATTCTTGGCTAAGGAAAGCGGGATACACAGTCTTAAATTTCAAATTGGGACTCCTTGGTACTTAAGCTGGATGTTGATGAGGCAAAAAGGTGCTTGCATCCCCCTACACACACTTCCCTTAAATACTTCCTCTGCCTGTGAACTGAGACTCCCCGTTGGTAGAAGCATTTTCCCCTCTGAGCACCCAGACCAAGAAGGAACTGATACAAAAGAGAAAAGTTACCCAAGCTTTTATCTCATGGATGTGGGTTGAAGTTCAGTAGGTTTGGAACAAAAAAAACTTCAATCCTGGAAAACAAAACCAATCAATTTTGCCATATAAAATCTACAAGAAGAGAAAGGACTCTTTTCCTCAGACCTGTAGTCAACTAGAAATCACTCAGCCTCTTTGATCTCACTGCTATGGTGAGTATGATACAGGCTGTTTGTTTGATAATGCCTTTCAGTGTAAACTAAGCAGTGAATTTCAGATTCATTTCCGATTGCTGTGGCATATCAAGAGAACAGTTTAATGATAGCAATTTTTTCTCTTGCCAGTATGTGCAGTGTTTTAGAGAAAACATCTTTACCATGTCTCTGGATGGCAATTCTCAGCTGACAGTAGGTGGCAGTGGTAGACAGAATAATGGCCCCACAAAAATGCCCCCATCCCTGATACCTGTGAAGATGTTACTAGTAATAGTAACTTTGCAGATGGCGATAAGTTAAGTAGCTTCAGGTGGGGAAATGATCCTGGATTATCTGGTTGGGCCTAGTGTCATCCCAAGCAACTTTATAGGAGGAAGGTAGGAGAGTAAGAGGAAGGAAAAAGTCATGAAACAACAGAAGCAGAGAGAAATTGGCAAGTGTTATCCTACTGGTTTTGGAGATGGGACCTGGAGCCAAAGAATGCACAGGCAGTTTCTAGAAGCTAGAAAAGGCAAAGAAAGAGATTCTTCCCTAAAACTTCCAGAAGGAAGGCAGCTCTTCCAAGCCATCTTAGACTCTGACCTCCAGAACTATAAGAGGGTAAATTTATGTCTTAAGCCTTTAAATTTGCACTAGTTTGTCACAGAAGACTAGGAGAGTATTACACAAAACCTTGTAATGAAACCAATATCCAAAAGTCTAGAATTGCTTTTGAAACGTGTGTAGATCATTCTTCATATCTGTCAACTTAGACCAGGTTATGCTGCAGTAACAAACACCCCCTTGCCAATCTTAGCAATATACTACAACCACACTTTTTTTTTCTTGCTCATGCTGTGTGTTCATCTCCAGTTCGAGGGGGCTCTATGCCACGTTCTTCTCACTCAGAGACCCAGGTAGACAGAACCTCCACCATGTGAAATAGAGGAAGGGTCTAGGACCTAACCTGACAAATAGCACATTGCTCTTAAAGGCATCCTTTCAGAGGTGATACATGTGACTTATGGTCTCTTGACCATGGCAAGTTACATGGCCATGCCTAATTTCAAGGAAACAGAGAAGATCAGGGTATCACTTTTCCAGAAAAGGAGACTGAGAATATTGGTAAGGAATACTAATTACCACCAAACTCTTCTTCCTTAATAATGATTTTCTTGGACACCATTTTAGCAGGTCATTACTAGCTAAGGATTCAATACTGTGTATCTCAGTCTAACTCTGGGACTTGTCAGTATAAGCAAGTCATATATAGTATGTTTTTAAAAAATCCTTGCTAAATACATGAAACATCTTCTAATTAAATAATTATGGTGGCCTGTTGAAAGCATAACTTCAGCTATTGATTGGTGTCAAACTGCTACATACACTACAATAATCCCCTGCTTATAGAGGTGTATTTAGGAAGGTTAATTTTGTCATTTGAAAGATTAATTTGATCACAGGGTAATTTATGCAGAGCCTTATGATTTTCATTGGAGATTACAGTGTGACCTTTTCCTCCACTTTTCTAATGCCTTCAGTAAACACATATTAAAGGGCTTTTATTAATTTGATTTCAAATTCACAGTTTTCTCAGATTCCAATTATTTCTCAAATAGTCCTGATTCAGTAAGATGATGAATGTCTGTAATGTAGATGACAGAGGTGGTAATGTATTTTTAACTTCTTTGGAAAGCTTTAGTTTATCAAAGTGAATGATTGTGACAATCTTTTAGACTATTTTTTACTTTCCAGAGCAGTTTTATTTTTTGGTCTGATGTTGTTTGGTTGATTGTTTTTAGTGTGGTGCTGGGAATCGAATCCTTCAAAGTACATTTCTCAAAGATATCTGAGAGTCTCAACGCCTATTAAGGAAGTAAGCTAGCATAAGTGAAATTATTACCATTTGCAGATGATAGAACTAGAAAACAAACAAGTAACAGTACCATCGCACGACATTTGACCAAAGTGCCCATGATTACACTAAAAAAGGAAAGGGAGAGAAGAAAATTTATCCTCTGACTTGGCTAAGGCCATGTGAGTTTACTGTAGAATCCTCAGAATATAATTGAAACAACACACACACACACACACACACACACATGTTTTTCCTGCCCTACCTGGAGTTTAAGAAAAATTTGTGAAACTACTTAATGCTTTGTTATTTCACAATAGAAAGGGATGGAGAAACATGATACGTAGTTCACACATTTTTCTAGGAAGAAGCTGCTTTTTTTTTTCTCTAGGGAAGAAAACTAAAAGTATATAATACAGCTTTCCTTTGTTGTTCAAAAAGAGTCTGGTAACCCTCTGTGGTTCAACCTAGAGTAACTTCAGAAAATGTAGCTACTACTTTGGTAGGAGTTTGCCATCATCCCGGTTCACCTCAGTGTCCATGAGGATAAACCAACACCGTGCCAGGTTCCCAGGTCCTTGACCACTTGGACGCAGGGCCCTTGTGTCCACTTGCTGGCTTCACCTGCGTGCATGATCCCTGGAGACTGTGTTCCCGTGTCAGACTGCAGTGCGTCTGCAGTCCTCAGTTCAGACAGCTGACTTTCTGAGCCCAGCCACGCTGGCAAGCCTCCACTCTCCCCACACTCCACCTGCACTGCCCTTGTTCTTGGTTCTTAGGACAGGACACTGGCTGGACCATTTACTTTGTTCCTTTCAACTCCTGTCTGTCTTCACTTCCTTTCCCACCTGCTAATCCCTGTGTGCCCAACTCCCTTCCTTCAGTCAGGCTCATCAGACAGCCAGCCCAGATATGTGCAGCCATTTTCCTTCTCACAGCCATCTTGACCACTGCTGGTACAGGGACTCCCACCACCGCAGTTTGCTGCCCTTGATCAGTTCTCAAGGCCACTGCCATTTATACGCTACTGATAAGCTCACCACCTCCTATAGAGAGAGGACAGGCCCTCTGAGTTTCCTTCCATTGCAGTGGTGTGTTGGAACCAATTCTTCCCAGCTTATAAGAACTGATTGTTATATTTTCAGGAATTTTGTAAGTCAGTTGTTAAGCACACCGTTATTAAAAATTATATAAATTTGCAGTTAAAAAGTAAGAACAGAGGTTAAAAAAATACTAAAAAAAAGACAAATACTCAAGGCTCTCTAGTTCTTTTATTATATTTTACTATCATCTAGCTTTGTGGGTTATTTATGTTTGTCATAGGACAACCATCTGTCTCTGTTTGCTCAGGACTAAGGAATTTCTTCAGTGCTAAAACCAGAACAGTCTTCCACAAACCAAGACAGGTAGTCACCATAGAATATTGTATAACATGATACAGATACTAGGTAATGATATGATTGTACATCTCTTCCCAATTTCTTGTTCATTGACATCACTTTTAAAAGCCTGAAATCAGCAATGGTGGGAGTATTTGTATCATGGAAACCTGTAAATGCTTTATATCAGGGTTGCTTTATTTTATTTTAGCTGATTATTTAGATTTTAAAAGGTGTCAGAGAAGCCCAGTATGGTGGCGCATGTCTGTAATCCCAGAGGTTTACATGCCTGTAATCCTCAGCAGGAGGATCGCAAGTTCAAGGCCAGCCTCAGCAATTTAGCAAGGCCCTAAGCAATTTCATAAGACCCTGTCTCAACAAATAAAAAGGGCTGGGGTTATGGCTTAGGGGTTAAGCACCTCTGGGTTCAATCCCTGTACCAAAAATCAAAAAAATATTAACGTGCATTAAATTTATGCATGCTGTGTGTATAGGGATTGTATTGTGAATACCACAAAGTTGAGAAAATATTCCTCAATGTTCAGCAAAGAAGTTACTCAGTCTTTGACAGACGAGTGAAGTTCTGAGATAATGTCTTTATTGTTTCACTTTAGTCTTAGTCTTTAACATGAAAATATCAACCAGTATTTATTTCAAAACTACACATTTGTGAAAGTAACCGAAGAGTGACTATGAATCCAAGAGTTGCCAAAATCAAAGAAAACATTCCATGAGAATCAATTGACTAATGGAATTTACAATAAAGATGATTATATATTTTATTATTTGTAAACTATTTGTTGCACTTCCTTTATAGCAGTTAAGTTTATAGTAAATTGTGAGTGTTTGTATGCATACTATTTTCTTGTTGGAAGATCAGTTCTTGATGGCAGAGAATGGGACCATTTTGCTTCTAAGGAAGCCAAGGATGCTGCTGAACAAACGATTATCCAGCCTAAAATGTCAGAAATAAATTGCTTTAGATATTTTAAAAACTTCTTCAGGGCTTAGGTTGTGGCTCAGTGGTAGAGTACTTGCCTAGCGTGTGTGAGGGTTAGATTGTCACTAACTCATATAAATAAATGAATAAAATAAGTCTATCAATATCTAAAAAAATATTTAAAAGAATCAAACTTCTTCACATTAAGAGTCCAACACTTCTAACTGGGTGTGGTGGTGCATGCCTGTAATACTAGAGGCTCAGGAGGAACTCAAATTCAAGGCCAGCCTCAATAACTTAGACCTAGTCTGAAAAAATAAGAATGGCTAGGGATGTAGCTCAGGGGTTAAGAGCCCCTGGG